TTAATCTTACAAGATCTCTGACTTTGTGCAAGTGTACAAAGTGTGCAAGTGTAACAATTGATGTTGGTTTGAAGCCAAGGGGTAGTCACACCAAATATTGATTTGACTTAGATTTTTCTTCCGTTCGCTCACTTTGCATTTTGCAAATTGATAAACATAAACAATTATAATATATATTTTTGAAAACATTCTTTCTTTACAGATTTTTTTCACACCTGCCTAAAACTTTTGCACGGTACTGTTTATGGAGAATACTGTATACAGGTAGTCCTCGGGTCATGAACACCCGGTTTACAGACAATCAATAGTTAAGAACGTAGCCTATTGGAGCAAAATACAAGTTAAATACACTATAGTTCAAGTTAATTACACAATACTGCTCATACAGTATTATACAATAATACTGTTCCAGCTTACATACAAATTTGACTTAAGGGCAGACTTTGGGAACAGAACTTGTTCTTAAACTGGGGACTACCTGTATATTGAGAGAAGAAGGATTGGAAGAAGATGAGTGTGGTTTTAAAATTGAAGGAAGAAACATCAATAACGTGCACTATGCTGATGACACTACTCTGACAGCCAAAAATGCAAAGGATTTGCAAGCTCTAGTAAGGAGCACAGTGAAAAAATAGACCAAGATTAAATATAAAGAAGACAAACAAATGACAACTGGTATAGTAACCAGACTTAGAATTCATGGTTTTCCCTTGTACCACTTTAAAGAACAAAAATTGGACCTTGAAGAAGCAGGTTAGAAAGAGGACTGACACTTTTGAACTTAGGTGTTGAAGGAGTCTCCTTAGAATACTATGGATAGACAAAACAAACAAACAAACAAACAAATGGATCAGCAAACAAATCAATTCAGAGTTCTCACTTGAGGCACAAATGACCAGGCTCAAATAATCATACTTTGGACACATTAAGTGAATACCTACCTCTCTGGAGAAGTCTATTATGCAGGGAAAAGTGGAAGGAAAGAGAAGAAGAGGATAATCAGCAAGTTGGATGGACTCAATTACAGGAGCAATGGGTGCACTATTAGAAGACCTGAAGGAACAAGTTCAGGACAGATCTTCCTGGAGAAAACGTATCTATATGGTTGCTGAGTCGACACCAATTTGACTGTACATAATCAATCAAACAACTGGCAATGAGGTAAAATATTTTTAATAAAACCAGCACTGTTTTCATGCAAATGTTTTCTTAAAAATTGTATCAAATACTCTCACATGATTTTGCCTTTGAAAAATCAGATTAATGTCAACAAGCTCAGCAAGTATTTTGCAGGCAAGATAGTTTATATTTAAATTTATAATACCAATAATATATCTGAAAGTTGGGGGAAGGAATCACAGTTCAAATATCAAGAGAATTGGAGTCTCTGCCACCCATATTTTATAGCCATAGTCAACTTAGCACTGGGTAGTATTTTAAATAACTAGTTATGATTTCTCTAAAAGTAGGAAGAATTAGCAGATGGTACATTTAAGCTTTTGAAAAACTTCCTTCTTTTCCCCACAATTTGAAAACTGATGAGTGAAGGAAAATCTAACTGCAAAGAGGCAGTAAAAATTATTTTTCTATGAAAGCTGTCAAGATACAAACAAGATACTGTTATTTCACAATTTTCCAGAAGTGCAGAAAGTTTATAGAATATAGTTCTAGCCATAGAATTCTGTTTCCAAAGAATATGCTTAATAATAAACAAAAGCTTAATGGCGCTTCATTCTGAATATTATCACATTGTTTGTCCTCAATGGTTTGAATAATTTTCACATTTATCTCAGAAAAAGATATGTTTAATACTATGAAGCTGCTGAATAGAAGTGCACTGATTTAAGAGAAACAAAATGTATTATGCAAGGTAGAATCAATTGGACAAAATAAGGAAATAATGCAAATTGTAGCCAGATCTCATAATTCAGCAGTTTTTGGGAATTAAATGACTTCCCTTGGATCAGAATTTATTTTTATCTTTAAAACAATGTATTAGTGTTTGTTATAATGCCAAGTTTATGCTTAAGCCAAGGACCGTTTACATATGGTACCTCAGTTGTATACTTTCTAGGTTCTGCTCAGAGTTGTGAGAAGGCAGGGAGAAGTGAGGGCCTCAAACGAACCATGTTTGCTAGGGGAGA